AGTGCTAGCTTAACACAATCATTCCGAGGTGCCTACACCTCCAGACATTCACTCAGGCAATCTGGATAGAAACTGACAACAGGAACGCCACTGACATCGGTTGGCAGCCATATCTTGTAGTGTATCCAACCAGGCACAGTAAGGATCACGCTGTCCCCATCCTGGAAGGCGAGTAGCACCGACAGCACCCAATCGTTCCGCGATCTCCTTCATACTCCTCTGCCAAGTCAGGTTGGCCACCTCTGTTTACGCCACTCTGAGTTGGGTATGGAAAACAGCGCTCTCTTCGGCATACGTAACACGTCCCAACCAACGTGTGGTGTGGTGCTGGACACATTCTTCAATGGAAGTACCCGTTACACAACCGAAAACACGCTTTCTAACTGCCTCGTTACGGATTACGCCAACCCAACCAACGCAGCTTCTGGTGCTGGACACATTCTTCAATGGAAGTACCCGTTACACAACCGAAAACACGCTTTCTAACTGTTAGGGTTTGAACGCGGCCCGAGCCTTGCAGAGTCTGCAGCCAAAGAATTTAGGCCAAGAACATAACCTCGAGAAAGCGGTACTTGTCATGAGACCTTCATAGTAGCCTACATTCTTAAGGAGCAAATCCCCACGTTGTTCCACCCTCCAGCCTGGAGGACCAGATGGCTTAGTCGGACCCCCACCCATTGATCAACCTTGAATGGGATGTTCTGTCAGTCTCGCATGTGCATTCCCCAGAGATGGCCCCGTGGTTAGAGCGCAATTTTTTGACCGGAAGGTGCGTGGTTCGACCCGATCCCTGCGTCTGGACTATCTAACCTTGGCCACCCTGGCGATATCCAAACCGTCGCGATTCCTTCGTGGCAACTAGGTACCAGAAAGTCGTTACAGCTGGATGATAGCCCAGTGGGTTATGAAGGCACCTGGATCGCTACTCTGTGGTGAGATCCAGTCTCGCTGGATGATAGCCCAGTGGGTTATGAAGGCGCCTGGATCGCTACTCTGTAGTGAGATCCAGTCTCGTCGACTGCTCCTGTCTAGGCTTGGGCTATGGCGGCTAGGTACGGTAAGGCTGTTACAGCCGGACGAACCCCTCTATTTGCATGACTGTGTTTCAGTGCTAGTTTTGTTTCTGCTGTCGAAGAACGTATGCAACGAAACCCGTCTAAGTAAAATTGCATTGTAAGGATAGGTGTATGTTGAACCCTCGTAGATTAATGAAGTGACTAGAGACAACTTTTCTCAAGTGAAAAACTAATCGGAAGGCACTTTCGTGCCCTTAATAAGTCAACTGGTATTCACTTTGCCGGTAAGCTGCCTCGCTTATTTTGTTCTTTAGGAAAACATTGAGAGGGGAGCGCTTTGCGTGTCTCAGGAGTTTGGGTCACTCAGCTGTCAGTTTGACAAATGTAGTCGAGGATTTATTCTACTGGGTTATATTTTTTCACCTGTATTCCCAAGATGCCTGACCACTTGATCTAAAGGATATCTGTTGTGTATGTACTGGTGTCACGTGGCTAATGGTGATGTTCAACTTGGGTAGTTGACGTTTGTCGGGGAATATTTCAGTCAGACGTCGGTATATGTGTTATTCGGGCAGTAGTCCATCTGAAAAAGATGTAACCGTCAACAACATATGCCGTGGCTTATTTGTTTGCGGAGAGGAACTCTTCTGTGCCATGAACGCGGAGACAATCGGAGATACTGGTTGAGGTTCTTGTTGCGAAACTCTGAGTGACGGTAAATAGTCAAATTTGAGTACTGTAGAATACGTAATGTATTCCGGTACGCCCAACTGAGTGACCCATTTTGTTGATAGATCTCAAGACTTCGTAATTCTTGGCTTGATTTCGCACGTCACGCAACTGGGCTTCCCAGAGTACCTCACGTACTTTACACTGATAGTATGTGACTCAATAGTTCAGCGAAAATTCCACAAGATTCGGTTGCTATCCGGGTTCCGTGATGTCCTTGTCTACTAAATCTATATGTACGCACACAGAAGCATGTTCTAGGTTAGCTCAATACCCCTTTGCTTTCGTAGCAGCTTAGCATCGAAAATCGCCAATACTTAAGTTGTGTACACATGGAGTACCATTCCTTACATGCCTGCATGTGTATGGTGGTTCGCAAATCGGCGTTTCAGGCTCATATTTGTAATATGGGTCTGTGATGGATATCCGATCGTCATAATTATCAGCTGTAAGAACCGCGTACTTGTACAGTGGTTGTAGCTGCCGCAGCTTCGTTCACCGATGATTTGGGGATGTGGGTTAGCTGTGCATCGGAAGCAGGAGCTGGTAAATTGGTGCGTAAATACGGGTCTGTCAATGGACTTTTAAGTGGAGGGATTGGGAAGGAAGCTATGCATTGAAGACTGTCTTATCCGTTTCCGGTAGATTCTGACAATTGAACGAATGGGCACTCACTCAAAGACACGACGTGATTATTTCGGTCAGGTATAAGCAAGGTAACCAGGGGGCAGTATCGCTTCATTTGATTACGTTACTGAGATGCCAGTCGGGACAATCAAATATTAGGTGGGAGAGTAAGCGCGCGCCCTGAACGAAGTAGTCAGTTGTGCGTGCTCAAGTGTAACTTTGTTGGCAGGCCGTAGGATGAGAAACTTTTGAAAAATTCCACGGCGAATTCGATGGTATCGTCAGGTTTGTGCATAAGTAATGCTTGAAGGAAGTCAGCCAATATTTCTTTGACGACTGGATGTTTTCTCAAATAGAGAAGATAGTCCGCTTTGATAGCATCCTGGAAAGAAAGGAATCTAAGTTATTCGGTCTAGGATTAAGGAAAGTATTCGCATCATAGAAGCACGCAGAACATTCGATAAGATTGCGGTGTGTATATGGTGAGGTGCGATTGAATGAAGCCGAATGACTCATTTAATGGATAGGATTTTTTACGCTGCTTACTGGAATGCAGTTTCCGACCTAAAAATAGACTACCAAAGTATAACATGTAATATTTTAGTTTTCAAGTTAGGGCGAGCTTGGTATTCTGTCTACTCTTAGATGGATTCTCTGACGCAGACTTATACGGTTATGCCTCCCCCCGCGGATCAGACTTCGGACCATACCTGCTTTGCTCTGAACTGTGCTGGAGAAACTAAAGACCTGGCTTCCAACAGGTGGGGGGTTACACCTGACTTCCGTCGCTACTGGCTGAAAAAATAGAGCGCATCCTGGATATTACTGAGAGTGGATCTTAGTACCGATCGTGACAGCTGTGTTGTCACTCTGTCATCGTGAAGTATTAGAAATTAAGTACACTCTTCCGCTCCTGTAATTCGTAACCTCATAGGTTTTTCCAACCATGACCAACCACTCTTAACAGAAACAATGCCTCTCGTGAAGTATTGATCTCTTTTGGAAGGCTTAAGCGTGGAGAAATCTGGCAACATCATGTGTTTCTCAGGGAAAACCGCTGCATACTGTTAACAATAAGAATAACTCAGATACACCGGAAAACTTCAGAAGTTGCAGGGCGTTGAACATAGGAATAAAAGTCACCTTCCGGTGTTTGGCATATAATGCGTAGTGTTATTCAACTCAAATTAGTTCCCACCACACTCAACTTGATTGTGACCACTTCTACCACCTCATTTCATGTCCATATGTGTTGTGCAAAATTTAACTCAACCTAAACGCAAACCGATTAGATACAGAGTTTTATGCAGGGATCCAGTGTTTCGGTGATTCCATAGTTAGCTTACAGCCAGAGAAGAGAATGTATTTTAACACTTTAACCAAAGCTAATGAGGTTTTAAGGCCCCTTTTACAAAAGTCGTTCCGTGCAGTCTGAGTGGAACTCGTCGCAGCCCAGAGATACGTCCGTTTTATCAGCATGTGGCTACACTAGATTATGCAAGACAGTTTAACTTACAAAGCTGAAGTGTGTAATGTTAGACAGTTAGGTTTCCGTATGCTACGACAATTTTGGACACATTATTTAATCATTTTCAATAATTTCCTAATACTCTGCACAGTTTAAAACCTTGGGCTATTCGTGCTTAGGGATGCTCTCATCTCATTTGTATTTCTTCAACTGCTTCTCCCAGCTAGATCGTTTTTTGATACGATTTGTCAGCTTTGTGTGGTCAAGAGTCACATATTGGGAATTTTACCGTAAAGGTAGTTTTATTTCAAGGGTGGCGTGAGTTCCCCTAACTAGTGATAGTGATTCATTGCAGTTCTCCCTGAATGGATTAGTTTATGATCATTCATCCTTTTTGGTCTCAATGTTTACACTACGCACACGATATAGGTAATTTGTCGGACATCACATCCACGCATTGTCATGGGCTAACCGACGCCTTGGAATCCGTTTGGTGGGGGATAAGTTGCCGCTGTCCTGTAGGCATCAAGTGAAAACGTGCATATCATGTTCAAGTCACATGGGCTACTATGTTTGATTCAGGACGGATGAGTGACATACCTCCTATGGCCTCAACACTCAAACTAATTCCAATCACAAAGCTGATTTCAGCTGGAATAGTTAGGACCCGGACTCTCAGGAAACGAGTTGGTTGGTCTTTTGTATTGGAACTTTAGTGGAGCCTCGAATCAAGATAATTGCTTTCATGAAGGAACCTATAATACATTTTGGTTCTGTCTGCTTCCAAATGATCCGCGGCAAATGAAATGAGAATACACATTAAAAGTACTTTCGCTGAACCTTCAATAGGTGGCCGTTTAGGCAATACAGGGCATTCTGCGGCTCACTAACTTGGGTTTAGTATTTCCATACGTTAAAGGGAGGGGCTTGTTGTGACATGTTTTGCGACTGTTCTCAATTCTCTCCTAGCTGACAGTGGTTGGCCTCCACCATAGCATGCGAGTAAACTTGTCTGTTCAAGGTAGTCACACGTCTTCATACTTTCTAGCTAAAGGCATCTGAACAGTTCAAGACTCTTTCGTTGTACGCCTCATGTCACAATGTGCGAAATATTTGATTAATAACCTACCTTTTGACTGAGAAAACGAGAGTATAATTCCATATCATCCCTCCAGTTGAATTCCGGTCGAGAAATCTCCGGCTGTTTCAGAAATTGGTCTTAAATGGAGTTTTTCTATGCCTCTTATCCAGACTCACCTTGCACGAATCGCTCTGGTACTTCTTGCACCTTGATAACGATCGGAGACCCAACTTGCAGCCTCAGAATTAGGTGTCTTCAGTGAAAGAAAAATGCGAGTATACCATTTGGGAAACCAGACAACCGAAATTCACATGTGTATATACAGTTGAAACCACATATCGAAGACATATAACTAATTTTTTGGTCAATATGCTGTTAAGTTTTTAAAATTATGTTGACTTTGCAGCACAATATGGGAAAATCGTCTGTCGCAAACGAGTACTTCACTTTGGATATTTTTTATCGATGCAAGATACTGTCACCGAGCACAAACAACGTGGTAACGCTGGAAAACTACAGTGGGCTCAGATACATCTCTCGTTTGTCATATATTTCAGTCGACTGAGCTGTAAAAGAGCCGCCTGATTTTTCAGCTGGCACAAGCTTCGAGATATCTAGTATGTTTTTTTCTCCACAACGTGCTTTTCATTAGTTTGCTGGAAACTCCACCCAACTTTTCGATAACTTTGAGAGTAGTACGTTTTGCCAAGCGCGCTAACAAATTTCACTTGCTTTTCAGTTATGCGTTTAAAAATGTTTCTTTTTGTTTTACCACTGACATTAGAGTCAGAACACACGTAGGAAAAATTATTCCCAGTGAGAGTTTCCGCTGAATGTAACAGAAGCGTAAGTGAATTAGGAACGTGCAAGTATAGAACAATATCTATAAAATTTTAGGAGTAACTAGAAATCAAACCACATGACCTGGGTGTTCAGTCTTGAGTAACCGATCGTTGTCAACTAGCAATTTCACTCTTGGTAACAGAAAATTGGATTCCATGATCTCATTGTCGTCATTTTGGCCGCATTAAAAATTAACTGCTTAAGTACTTACAATTTTTTTTACTTGGGATCCGTTACATTAATACTCTGGATGGTGCGGCTGACTTGATATGTTAGCCCATCATGTTCTATTAAGCGATTAGGAAACCAACGGTCCTGCATGCTCCTGTATTATTGAGATGATGTCCTCCAATTCTTTGTGTCAATATGATCGATGTAGATAAATCATCGTGGAATATTGAGCAGGTACGTTGTTTTTATTCTGGCTTTTAGAATCAGAATAACAATGCCCTAATCCCCGTCGGGCAGATAGCGCCCGACGGATTCTGAGAAGCAGTCATTCTTGGAGAGAGGCTTTATATGAAGTTTTTTTGAACAGCAGGTGCTCGATCTTTCCAAATGTGTCATATTTTGTAAAAACTGCTTCATATAACTTTCCCTCGTAGAGTTTAGACATTCGTCTCGGTTTATTAAGTGTGTTTAGTGGACAGACCTTTCTAGCTTGATTTCCGGGCAGCAAACAATGGTCAGTTTGTAGACCAAATCATACGTCGTCTGCAGTTCACTACGGTAGATATAAATGACCTGCAGTGTAGTCGGAGGAAATCATACATTCCTCCTTATCCAGATGTTTAAAAAGACCCGGCTTGGGAGTGCCTGTAGATAATATATTCCTTCGTTTTAGTGCGTTTCTCAAACCGCAGTGGTCCTAAAACCCGTTGCCTGTCTCAGAGTCAGAAAACATCATCCTAAAATCCAGACAACGCGATTCACAAGAGCTCTCAAAGTCTTCAGTAACAATTACCGTCTGGTTGGATTAAGCTGTCCTCGACTTTACGCAACTTGAAGAACAGTTCCCTAAGGCAGTTTGTGTGTCTTGTCTTTGAGGATTTCATTCTTCTTGGCACTGAGGCCTCGCTGCCGTACAGCCAAAATAATCTTTGAAGCCTCAAGGTAGAAAAAGAAAAGAGTGATTAGGGAAAAGGGGTGCTAACCCATCACTTTCAGCCAGTCTGGACAGGAACTGACAGCACAAATGCCCCGGACATTTTGTGACTTCCCCAGTCAAGTGAATGAGGAGGTGTCACTTAGATGCATTCTGGAAGGTAGAAAACTGTAATAATATCTTTCGCGACCTTTTTATAAATAGCATGTCATCAATATCACAGTTAGTACCATTCTACAGCAAGCAACAAAAAGAAAGCTTGATTCGGTGGACGATAACCTAGGATGCGTAGCACACGGCAAAGCCACATTAGTTGATGGGTTCATGTGTTTTCTGCTGGAAAACAAAGCGTCTTTCCAACCATCCGTTTACGAGTTCGTTGATGCAACCAAAGATTTTGCTCTATCACATAATGAGCGCAATAAAAATATACTCATTCTTGCACCTGAATAGCACTTAGAATTTTACCCACGGAAAAGCATCTGCTGTTAAAATGTAAATTTCAGATTTATTTTTCTTGTAATAGGTTGGGTTGATTTCTGGAAACTGCAGTTTATCACAAATTGTTTTTTACCTAGTTTGTCCGAGTCCATTATCAGGAAATGATATGTAGAATTCAACTGCCGAGGTCGCTTTACAATTTCAGCCCATTTCAGACCAGTTAAACAGATCAGTGTGGCTACCGAAATTTTCCTTTGACTGACACAGGGTGTAGGTCAGATTGTGTAAATGCTGGCTAATCCAACAATGAAACTGTCTCTTAAGATGCTGCCCATTTGTGACTTGGGTTGAAGATGTTACTTGGGAAGCTAGCCCACTGTTTTTATGACTATCCGAGAATATTCCCGTTGACGCAGGGATCCAAGACACAATGAAAATGAGTAAAGGTCGTCGGGATTCTTGTGATCATCTTTCGAATTCTTGAAGCTCATAAACTGATGAGGGTCAGTCATTTCCTTTTTGTTGTTGCTTTTTTAGCCTCGTCTGTCAGGCGAATGCCAAGAAGTTTTTGTGAAATTTTGTGTAATGCCCTTCTTTGGGTTTGTGGGGCTCAATTTAATAAACAACTGTCCTTCCTTAACATACAAAACAACTTATTTTTGCTCCGAACTTGGCTAGTTTCCACATACTGATCACAGATGCAGCCACTCGTCCAATCATATCATTTCACTTGTTTTTGTGGTTTTCCAAAAGACAAGCGACGCAAGCTGATGGATTGACGCGAAGATAATAGGTTTTAAAATTTTTTATCGATTCTCTGTTCTCCTGTTCAGCAAAGAACACTCAAATTCCTAAGAGCTGCTCACTGCTTAGTCACACTTAGTTTGGATGTGAATACTTTCCAAAACTTGCGCGTTGCTGAGGCTGTGATATGTCACTAAGGCAACTTCAAATATTCCCTTCTACTTGTATGATTTTCACTGCTAGTGCAAGGGGATTGATAGATCATATATGCAGTAGAGTGGTCGGTTACACTGTTGTATTAGGCCTGGCACAGGCCGTTTGCTTGCAGAGACAAAGCTTAACCGAGCGGCTGGAAATACGTAATTTATGATAGATCTGAGTTTTTGTTTGCATCGTTCTTAAGCTAGAGGGACGCAGAAAGTTCTCTTGTCGAATGTCAGAGGATGCGTCCGGTTTACCATGAAGATTGAGGATATTTTTATACAGCCATTAACGATTAGTGTCCGCTTCAAGAGGGCTTCTTTAGCTAGCTGGTCTGCGGTGCACATGTTTTTCGCTCTGAGAAATTGTGATTTCGTGAAACCATATTTATATGCAGTGAGCGAGAAGCTAGAAGAATGCAGGTTTTGGTCACTCCGCAGAATTCGCTAATGATGCGGTCCAGATGATTACACACAATCATGAACAGCGATATATTAGCAGTAGCTACTGATTCCACACTGCCAAACAACCCTTGCAAAGAAGAACTTATCGTTAAACAACCAGAAGCAAGATGTTTGTATCTTACAAAAGCAGTGAATTGAATACTCAAGAGCACCATGTTCGAATGAGGTGCTACTAGCCTAGGTGTCGCTCAGAACAAACTTGGTGTCATCATCGTCATCAGTATCATGCTGCCCGCGCATTAAAATAGGGTCACGGCCGGTAGATATTTATTTTCGCTTATTTTGGGGTAATTACCAACCACTACTTTCGATCATTCACTGTAACTTGACAGAGTCCATCTCAGAGTATGAGAGTAGTGGCGAGAAGCTAGAAGAATGCAGGTTTTGGTCACTTCGCAGAATTCGCTAATGATGCGGTCCAGATGATTACACACAATCATGAACAGCGATATATTAGCAGTAGCTACTGATTCCACACTGCCAAACAACCCTTGCAAAGAAGAACTTATCGTTAAACAACCAGAAGCAAGATGTTTGTATCTTACAAAAGCAGTGAATTGAATACTCAAGAGCACCATGTTCGAATGAGGTGCTACTAGCCTAGGTGTCGCTCAGAACAAACTTGGTGTCATCATCGTCATCAGTATCATGCTGCCCGCGCATTAAAATAGGGTCACGGCCGGTAGATATTTATTTTCGCTTATTTTGGGGTAATTACCAACCACTACTTTCGATCATTCACTGTAACTTGACAGAGTCCATCTCAGAGTATGCTTGAGAGTAGTGGCCGTGTAAAGTCAGTTATCCGTTGCTTACATAACTGTTCCCAAGAGACTGTTATCATGCAGGATCTTCTAAGAAGTGCCTGAAAATTTGGTTTCTTGTTGGAAAGATGATCCGAGTGGTGTAAAAGGGTGAGTGTTGGTGTTAAACACTATAAACTGGCTGACAGTCTGTTGGATGGCCATTTAAAAAAACCGGCAAAAATTCGCCTCCAAACTCATACTGGTGAACGCGCGACTCCAACACGGTGGGTTGGGGAAATGTTATTAACTTTGGAACCCAATGTCTATGATGACGGTGCCGTTTGACCGTTTTGTGAATATTCCACACCCTTGCAGGTCACCCACTGCCGTGCAAATGCTAGGGTATAGTGCTTGAGGAAACGTTAAATGTTTAGGAGGATATTGCTTCCAGATTCTCTCGAATCTTCTCTGAAAAGAATGTGTTTCATGCGCATTAATTTCCTTTTGATAAGGAGTCGATAGTCGATGACGTACGTTTGACGGCTCCAGCGACTGAGTTATATAGCCTTTGTTTTAGGTTTTTAGAAGCCAAAGTTCAAGGTCGGCGCCACGACAGTATTGCATTGTGCTTTTCATCAACTCAAATGCAAACCCAAACATGTGAGCTTCCTTCTACATGGTTGACCACACTGGGTTGGTGAATAATTTG